ATATTATATCCCGTGTAATGTACCGTCTAGACTTTTAAATTACTTTTTAACAGACATAATTTTTAATTCCTCAAAATATGTGGTTACAATGATCTAAATAAGCCTGAAAATAATCGTTAAAAATTATATAGTATTAACAGATGATTCATTTTGCATTAAATATTTTATTGACACATAGAATAATATGTGAACAAAATTTGATATTTAGAATATGAAATCCCACAAGTAAAAGCCGGACACAAGTTGATACCTAGTAGGATTGACTGTGGCTAGTTTGAACTATATTTAGGTACTTTATTTGTCAAATATATATGATATCTTCTTAACTTCAAGAACAATTACACAAGTGTGTGTAAATACAACTTACGTGTAAGAAATTTAACATAGCATTTTGTGCATAGCACGTTCAATCTACTGAACCTGCCGGCATAAAAATGTCGCTACAAGAGATATATAAAATATGATAAACAAGATCAACAAGGAAAGGCGGCGTTCAATGAACCATTTTTGATCTGACAACGGTCATTGTATTATATTACTTCTACAAAATGTTCAGCCGAAATGAAGTTTGTTCCAAAACATCATACTGCATTTTATTAAAGGGTTGTGTTTGTCATATACCGTGTACTTTATTAAAGAAAATTAGTACGCTTTGTGTTCATATATCAAACCAGTAACACAATACTATATACGGTCAAGGTCGTACAAAAGTCCTTACCACGAAAAAACAAATGTAAGCAGGTGGAATTATACCAATATATTAACGATGTAATATTGCTTAGCAATAACAATAATTAAGAAATATGATATGTTTGTCATTGTATTCTTTGTTGAATATTTAAGAATAACCCAACAGTTGATCAATGTGGTATTCAACACTTCTTATTTCTGTAGATAGAATGAAATAAATATAACATAAAATAGATAAATACAGAATCCCTTAAGTTAGCCCAACACGTCAAAATTGAAAATGTTGCAGGCTCGGTTTGATTGAGCCTGTTCATGGACGGTAATGTCAAGAGCAAACTACCGTCCACGCCCCCTAGCGCCGGCTTAAGCAGAATTCAACATTTAAACATGAAATAGTAAAATTTTGAATTTAGAAACATCCGCAGATGTGTTCATACGGCGGTTATCATGGAACCTTCAATGTGACACCTCCGTGCCATTCCATGAAAAGCGGCGTATGGTACCCAACTAATAAACAGCGTGTGCCCTAAACGAGAAAACAATGGGCGGAACTAAATGAAATGGAATTTTGAAAGGGGATCAGAGGTTAAAGTCTAAAATTGTAAGTTTTTATTCTTACGCCAACACCTGATCTTGACTCTATAATTAGTGTAGCTCCATCAGTTGCTAATCCCATCATTTTATTTGCAGGAATTAACTGGCTATTTATTGATAAAAAGCTGTATGAATAGTCTTTGCCTTTCCATCTTAAACATAAATGTTAGCTGCAAAACTAACCTTGACTTTACCTTGAACCACAGTCTGAACATATATAATCAGTTTTTTAAATATTGCAATGTCACAACTTTCATCAGCTTTTATGCCAATAAACTGTCTAATTTCAATCTCTGCTTTTATTTTGATTGTAAGGGAACTTAATGATTAAACGACCGTTGCCTTAACTGCACCATGTGAAACATTATGTCTAGACATCAGGGTGCATCCATTGCTTTTTGTTGTTCATGATACAAATGTAAAACAATATTATTAATTACCATAAATTTGGAGCTGTGAACACAGCAGATAAGATGACACATTTTCTGCAATTTGTTTGGATATAAACAGCAATATATTTTTTTTATTTCTATAGCACAGCAATGCTAGTCGTACTTGCTTTGTGTTAACGTTCGCGATCGATACGCATCGACCCATGAGAAATAAATTATAATAAAGAAAACAACACATGTTCAAACAGTGAATTGCAAAACAGCTCGAAAAATATTTTTTTATGAATACATGTTTCGTCTTCAAGACGTAACGGCCCGATTTCTTTCGTTCGAAGCGATTTTTGATGCGTAAATGGAGGTGTTTACTTCGTAACTGCGGTGCTTGGATAATGCTACGGGTTGTGTAGTTTAAACATATTTTATTGCATTAAATACATGTTTACAAATATATTATACAAATAATGAATATATACATGTATATACGTGTTGTCCTTCAACAATAAATTTCATTGGTCGCTGATTACTAATAGTTGAAGTTTGACCGAACAATATCTTATTAGCAAATTGTTTGTTCGGATAACAGTTTATTCAACGTGATTGTTCAATACTATTTTTAATTCATTTGAAATATGCGTTAGTATAAATGATTCTGGTTTTTTTATCAAATGAATACATATAATAGCATACATCATCTTTGATAGAATGATAATTGTAACTCCTATAATTCACGCCGCCAATTATGACATTTTAGAATAAAATACTTCAGGTAGTATTTTTATTGGTTAACTTTTATTTTGTCAACAAGTAAAAAAAATCATAAAACCAAATTAATGATTATAAATATTGTCATAGAGCCATCTAGAAAATATCACCATAACCGCTGAAGGCGAATGTGCGCGTATCTTTCCAGATTGAACCAGATGCGACTTCATTGAACGACGCCTTTCCTTGTTGATCTTGTTTATCATATTTTACATAAATAAAGGCACGGCTTTGACGCCCATAATCCGTCAAAGAACAGCATTTGACTTTGTCGTGCAGAAAATATAAAAGGATGATCAATTTGCTTTTGAACTTTTCTAAAATTTCTTTTGAACTAGTTAATAATTGTAATTATTTCACCAAAAAAGCATAACGTTTGTAACTGATAGCATTAAGCGGCTTTATAAACGGTCATAACATTTACAAATGATAAACATGACGTTTAATTACGTTTCTTTTGCGCAAAATTAAACTACAACGTGTACTGTATTAATAACATAACAATGACAAGTAAACGGCAGATATGTTACTTTTTTGGCTTTAGTTTTATTTTTGTTGGGTTAAATGTTACACCAACACAGTATAGGTTATATTGCATCTTTCCAGCTTTAGTGGTTGAGTAAGACCTAAGGTGCCCCTCTGTACATTATTTCAGGCACAAAAATGACAACATGGTAGAACCACTGACTTTCCGTACAAAATCTGGAAGAATGGTAATACGGAAACAAAAATCACAACAATAAAACATGAAAACTGCAGTCTCGGTTTGACTGAGTCTGTACATGAGATATAATGTAAATGAGCAATATCCCTTGATAGCCCTCATGCCCCCTAGTGCCAGCGGTACTCAATTTTCTACGCTTAAAAGTATTGTAATCAATGGACCCTAAGGAAACCCTTACTTATCTGAATGGCTTTTTCAAATGTCGAATCCGAAGACGCGGCTTGAACCTACAGCTACGAGAGCGAGTTGTTTGAAGTCAACGACCTTAAACACTCGGTCACGGACGCCCCCTCGGAAGATATGTAGTCTAAAACAAAAATTCAAATAGCAAATGAATTATTGCATAGGAAATAGTATTTGGCACAAGAAGCACGTGGCATAAACTTTAAGGTATATGTAAGGATATGATAGTTGTAAAAACAAATCTGTTAAAGTAATGGTTAACTTAGTAATTGTATCATTTATCTATAAAGAGTCACAAAATGTTATCATTATGGCTCAGTCTTTATAACAGTCACATCAACTTGCTTTACTAGTACGTCACTTGTTAATCCCCTTCCGCACAGCGAAAAGGGGATTAAAGGAAAGGCCTCCATCTGTCAGTCCGTCTTTCCGTCCGCCCGTAACACTTTCGTGTCCGCTCCATAACTTTCAAACCACTGAATTTTTGTTTGAAATCTCAGGGCCATCATTGCCCTCTTGTTAAGATAACACCATTAGCAGAGCACAATAATCAAGTCAGAACTATGAAGGTCAGGGTCACACTGAAAAAACATATATTTTTCATGTCCGCTTTTTTAACTTATTGACAATTCAAAGTTTTTAAAATTACTTGGCACAAATGATGGTCACCATGACACAATCTGCCGAGTTCAACATCCAGGTTGCTATCACCAAGGTCAATGTTATATGTTCTCCATAACTTTTTTACTTTATGAAAGATTTCAAATAGCATGGCACAAATAGTCACCATTATGAGACTTTGTGCTTATGATATGCATGGCATAACATCAAGGTCGTGGCTGTAAAAGGTTCCCTGCGGAAGGGGATTTAGCTTTCCTTCAGTCTGCCTTGTAAGATATTGATGTAATTATTGAGAAAAAAATAAGTTTAATTATCTTTTTTTTTCAAAGAACAACGTATATATATATATATATATATATATATATATATATATATATATATATATATATATATATATATATATATATATATATATATATATATATATATATATATATATATATATATATATGTCACTTATAACTAAATATATACTAAAATAATTATACTTTACCGTCTTTAAAAATATATCGTTTAAAGAAAAAACAATTTCTGAAATAGAAATAATAATATTTATCAAATTGCTAGGTGACGTCACAATGTCACTTCTCGTGACTATGTTTGACAAGGAAATATATTTACGTCGGGTCTGTATGATAAAGTTTATGTAATAGAAAGAGCACCGAAACACGAGGCTATCTGATTTGTACGAGGGGGCGTAGCCCCCGAGTATAAATCTGATAGCCGAGTGTTTCTGTGCTCTTTCTGTTTTGTATCATAGCCAATAAAATACAATCATATTCCCTGTCATCAAAATTTGTGAACCCCAGAGAAAAGCAGCCAATCTGCGACCACGTAAAAACGATAACAGACACCCCGCCCTTTTCGGACACCCCGCCCTTTTCGTCTGGGCAAATTGTCAGTTTAGTGAATGCACTCTGGACTGCTAGGCATGGCATGTTCTGACGAAATGGATTTGAATTGCAGTAGTGAAAATATCTTTCTTTCCCAAATTCCCTTGGATTTTGAACTAGAAAATATTAGTGATAATGTGGTTTATTCACAAATGGTTTCGGATTTTGAGAATAGCATCGACAGAGATTCGTCTTTTGATCTGGGGCTAGACTTTCTAGAAGATCCCGAGATTTTGAACAATAGCACGAGGTTTCAGACGAATGTTCTTAAGTTGGAAACAAACAGATGTGTTGAAACTGTAAGATCAGAAATTAACGATGAACGATTTGGAAAACAAGTTACGGATACGGAAATCGAAGAAATGAAGTCTTCGAAACGCAACAAAAATACTGCCAAGAACACTAAATGGGCTTTTAATATATTTGAAACATGGCGACAACATAGACAGGCAGATAACATTCCAGAAATACATATCATGGAAAAACCGGCTTTATCTTTCTGGCTTATTCGTTTTTTAATGGAAGTTAGGAACCAGAAAGGAGAGGAGTATCCCCCGAAATCTTTATATCTAATCATGTGTGGACTTTTGAGACATTTGCGCGAATGTGGAGTGCACGACAAGAACATTCTAGATAAAAAAGACCCTGCGTTCGCAGAATTAATAACAATTTTAGACAGTAAAATGAAACACCTTTTGGACCAGGGACTTGGCACAAAAACGAAACAAGCTGATCCAGTATCTAACGAAGACGAAGAGAAATTGTGGGAAAAGGGTGTTTTCGGAATGAAAAATTCTAAAAGTTTGCAGTACACCGTCTTTTTCTACGCATGTAAATTATTTGGGCTACGTGGAAGAGACGAACACCGAAATCTTCAGTGTAACCAGTTTGAAATTGGCGAAGACGACGGTGGACGATTTATAAGATTTATTGGTCGAGGCTCAAAAACATACCATGGTGGACTTGGACAGATGTCAATCAAAAACAAAGATATCAAACACTACTGTAAACCAGGTATGTACTTTTCTATTCGAAATATATTAATTTATTAATTGGCGTCAAGTGTTTTTTACCGTTTTGATAGTATATATATCCCATTAAATATGCAAAATAAATGTTTTAATTAGAAAAGATCGACACTATTTTATGCTAGTAAATCAAATATTGAGAAATATTTATGATATAAAATGCGTATATTCATTTTTCGTATTTTCACAGTAAAAAAAAATATTTTCACTGCAGTAAAATTAGTTTTCATATTTTCACTGGTGACTCGCAGGACTACTTTTTTCTAAATTCAGCCTGTGCACAAATTTAAGTAAAATAATTCGATTCGTAATGTCTGAAAAGAAAAAAAAATAATTATGGTATGCAAATCATCATATTTAGCCACCCATGAACTATTTATTTCATTTTCAAACCACTTTATGATAATTATCCTGTATTTGTGGGGAAAAAACTTGACTATTGTCTACGTATTTTATATTTACATCACTTAGAGCAGACGTCACATACTGTAGGGTAGTCAATCAGGCGACAATTTGTTTTAGTGTGCAAAATCTTATTCATAAATATAAAATAAGTAAAAAAAAACAAGTTTTTCTTATTTCACTCTATTAGTAATGCGTGTTGTTTGAATTCACAGGTCCACGATGTATGGCGACTCATTTCGAGACTTATTTGAATGCCCTTGGAAACGATGGAGATTTTTATAGACGACCGCTGCCGTCAACACAGAGTGGAACTATAAGATACGGGTACCAGCCTGTTGGTATAAATACACTCAACAAATTCATGAAGGAAATAGCTGAAAAGGGGTCATTACAGGGAAGTTTTACTAATCATAGTGGAAAACGCACGTGTGCAACAACTATGTATACTGCAGGAATTGATGAGCAGGAAATTATGGACAGAACTGGCCATAGGTCAGTAACCGCAGTGCGGAAATATAAACAGTCATCTGATCAAGTTCGAAAAATGGTATCTAATGTGCTTGATCCTAATAAGGAAGATACTGATCTCCATGTCTCAAAAATGCTTAAATATGAGAAAAATGAACATTCTTGTAAAACAACATCAGATAAGTCTGAAACTACTGTTTCAAATAACATTAAGAAAAGACGCGATGCTCTGACAGATCTTACAAACCAGTCAGGAATAGTTAATTTCACAGGATGCACTTTTAACTTTTGAGACATTCCGCTATAGTAACAATTTAAGACGTTAAAAATTAAAATTAAGAAAATTAAGAATTTAAAACATAAAACATGTTGATGTATGTTAATAAAATTCAATAAAGTTCATATTGTTTTTATTTGCTTCTGTTTGGGCCTCAAACGGGCAGTGCGGTAACTGGAGTGCGGGTAACTAATACCCGCACTCCAGTTACCGCACGCTACTATGCTGAAAATTAAGCCACACCCCTTCACTTACCACACGTGCCCTACTTGGTATACGATTTAACTCTGACACATTTTCAACAGAAAAGTCCCCAAGCTATGATACAATTTACGGTTATTGTTTCTATTTATATCTATCATGATTGCGTATTGTTTATTTTATCTGATTTACTTCTTAATTATATACGCCTCTTGGTATTGTGCTAAAAAGATGTTATTATTGCCTGTAACATAAAACCTGTAATGGGAACAAGGTATGTCATAAGGTAGGGGTTTTATAAGAAAGCACGTCGCATGTGTGCTTTTGTTGACATAAACACGTGTGTATTCTTTGATTCCTCTGATCCATGCATACTGCACATTGAAGGAATAAACCAAACAGGTTCGGTATCTGCTGACAGGTGCATTTGTAATGTTATCCCTGCCACCTTTGGGAATTCTACATGTATTTGACCTTCACTTCAGAAAAACGTCAATGGTACAGAATGTAGAAACTGTGCAATTTAAGCCAGTTAGTTAATAAGTTGATGTAGTGTACAATACCTATGATACGGTAAGCACAGCAGACAGGAACAGGCGTATTACTGCACTGCAACAGTTATCTGTGGTAAATAGAACCAGACCAAGATAAACTGAATCATTAAACATTTAAGTCTGCTGAAAGTACACGAATTACCTTGTTTTTTTTTAAAATGGAGTATTTGTGGGTTTTTTTGTTGTTGTTTTATTTTTAATATTTATGGGTATGTCCATTAATCAAAACGTACCTATGACTCTAAAAGATGAAGGTTTTTTTTGCAAGACAATAAAATGCATTTTTTTAAACTACCAAATAAAGTTGTGATGAATTTTGTTTCTTTATAATGATGTCATTTTAATTTTGACATTGTTACACATTCCCAATTTCATTCAACAAATGTGACGCATTGAGAGTAAGCTTTTTTCTGCAGTCAATGATAATTATTTTTATGAAAGGAAAACAGCATTTGTCTATTTTATTCACTGAGTTAGTTGACATAAATATAATGTTTCAAAATATATAAATTTATATAACATTATAAAAAAAGACAGACATGCACTAAAAATAAATGTTCCATCGTAATACCAAAATCACAAACATATTCAACATATTAACATGACTTTGATATATTCAATGCTTATCCTGCAATTAAATGATCATCACCACACTGGTGCTTAAGCCGCACCAAATCGATTGTAGCGCACCCGTTTTGTAGAATTAAAACAATTCTACCGTAATTAATAAGAGGGTATAAATGAAAAAAATGAAGCATGCTTTAACAGCTGTTAATTTAACACTTACACTTAGTTATTGCTTAAATGTGATTGAATGCCAAGTTTGAATTTGGAACTGTCCTTTTAAGTCCAAGGGATTTCCAAATCAGAATACAAAATATTAGCAACCAATAGCATAGAGCTCCGTCAGACTGACAATTTGTCTGGCTGAATCAGGTTTCAAAGGCTAATCATAACAGCAAGTAATTTTACAGATTCAATGTGATATTTCTAATAAAATATTTCAAAAGTTTTATATTCCAGATTCTTCTTAGTTTTTAATTTCATTTACATTTCGTAGGTAATTGCATATAAAACATAAAAAATTCAGCGCGCCACCTTATGAATGAAATGGGTTTTATGCAGTTTATCTACTCCTATATTATATTAAAAAAAAATTTCCATTACAAATATTTATTAATATAAATCTTTTTTATATCATTATGTGGATAATATATCAAATCTTTGTCAAGCTACTTGAAATTTTGAGACTTTTGGTCTTATGTGATAGCACGTATTTAGACCCAGTTATACGAGAGAAATGTTTTCTCGTTTAACACAAAACAAATCTGCAACCACCTGCTTTTTGAAAATGAAGACAAACAAATAATAATTAATTATGTTTTGTTTATGATATTTATTCTTCATATTACCAAATTAATCTTTTCTATACGTAAACAGGACGTATTTGTAGTAAATGAAATCGATTATCATAAATAATAAAAATGATAAATTGCTCTGGCAAACAATGAAAATCATCAACAATCAATGACGTTCTTAAATTATTAAATCAATGCCTTTAAGTACTGGATGATGACTACTGATTTAAAGTGAAATAAGATAAGTAGTATCGCAATAATAATCAAGTAAAGCAATACAGCAGAAAAGAAACATCAGTTAACGATCGAACCAACGACATAATCATATGCTATTTTATCTTTGAAAATGGGTACATTACATTCAATTAATGTATCATATGGGATAAGAAAAGGGTTTGCACCTATCTATTAAGTTTATGTGTATAAATATAAAATGAATTGTAGAGTATCAGATTTTTCCTTGAATAAAATAAATGATCTAATCTGGTGCAAGCAAACACAGAAACAAAAACAAACAAAAAACAAACAAACAAAAACATTCACAGTAATCATAAGTACAAAATTTATATTTATTGATATAAATGAATAAAATGAAATATTAATGTCAGATCTGTAAGAATAACTATCGCGATTAGAGGCAGAAACTTTCAGAACTTAAATTAATGATGATCTACAAGTCCGGTTGCACTCAATGGTCTTCACCCAAACGTCAGTTCTTCAGTTTAAATTTATGAAATGTTTTGATTCAATTAATACAAATATTAATTCAATAATATACAAATAGCATCATGTTTAAGAACAATATGATAACAATTATCAACTTATCAAATAAGTTGCATTTCCGTTATAAAGGGATACTCAAGTAAATTAATGACAAAGATATCAAAATTATCTTTATGTACTCATATCACGCTAAAATGACATTTTGTTATAATCCTAGCATGAATTCCTGTACAAATTCTACACATTTGAGTGTAAAGCGTTAAATATGAGTTTCAGTGAAATATTGAAAATCCGGACGAGGGAAAAAATGTTGCATTTTATCATGTTGAGTAAAAATGTATATCATATTTCACAAAAATAAAAAACGAAAAATTAACCGTTTTATTCAAATTCACCATCAATGAAAATGGTACAGAATCCTCTTGCTTGCTACGCAACTGCAATTGTACAGCGACCAGTAATATATTGATAATTTGTTTTGCCTGTATTTGCGCGCGCTGTTTGGTGCTTCATTGTGTCGTCACGTAAACAACTCTTTAAACGTCTGTACAGCGTTAATGACTGAATTACATATTTATTTTCTTAGTTAGATTATTTTCTATCATTCTATAGTTTTCAAAACAAATAACAACAAAAGTTTTTTTTATTTATCAGATTTTTTTAACAAAATGGCAAAAGAAGTCCCTTAAAATAAAATTGAGTTTTGACTCCGCCCACTTTCATATTTATATTTCATATTTATTTTTTAAAAATATGAATCATATTTGACTGATATAGCACCATATTTCGTGGGTAAAATTAAAGAAATGTGTATATTTTGAACCAAAATTAAGATGTCAACAGAATCACCAGGTAGTTTTAAAACAAGTCATGTGACTTAAACAAACCCTGGAAGTTACAAAAATATATATTGTGTATAGTGTATATTTGAATCAAGTCATAGTCTTTCATTTTACATGTTCTTTAACGTTGTCAGAGTTCACTGTGAAAACTGTTGTGAAATATTAACGCTCTAACTTGACCTACGTGGGTCAAGTTAGTAAACCACTATTTTATTCTTCATAAGGAAATCGTTTTGTTCCTGTGACTGCGTAGTTTATTCAGTTTGAAGACATTTACAGAATAATGAATAAAAAATTAGTTGAAGCAGTAGTAGTATGCAGTGGTTAGTAGTAAAAGTAGTAGTGTTAGTAGTGTTTTTGGTATTCAGTTATAGTTTCTAAAATGTAACATACTACATAGACCATATACGTTTCCTTTGCTTTGTCAATGTGTAACGTTTGCTACTTTAAAACATATAATTATACAGTGAGTGGGACTTTCTTCAGTTGTAAAGCATCTATCATGCTCTAAACACAATAATCGAAACATTTCAAAAATTAGGTTTCAAATTGCCCTTTTGAAAGATAAAAAATACATTTTGTTTCTAATGCATAATGTAAGAAACAACTTTTAAGCTTATTACTAAAATCCATTTATTAGCACCAGATATATATTCTAGGAAGGAACTCAATGACAACATGTCAATGTCATCTAAATATATATATTAGAAAGTTCTATATATGTAAATTAAACTAAAATAAATTATTTCCTGTACATTGTTTAATCAAGTTTAGATATAAAGTATGAAGAAGGATATTATGTGGTGGGATTGTCATAATAAATGCTAAGACAATACATCTAATTAAAAAGCAATGTCATAACACTGTATCATGACATGAGTCTATTTCAAGCTATAAGTTCACCTAATCCTTATGCTTATTTGTTCTTTGTTAAGCTGACCTTATTGACTGTAAAAATGGTGATTGACCAACAGTTTATATTGAAAAATGTTAAGGACAAAATATAAATATGTCCAAGATATAAAAAGACTTAATTTAAATGAGCATGTAAATTCCCGATGGAAATGTCATTTGTTTATCGTAAACGTGAAATAAATTATGAATTTGGAAAGGAATAATGGCAAAATATGAACTTATGTTGATTGTCACGCTTGTATTGGCATAATGCTACTTAAATTGACACTTGCGGTTTTCACAAAATGTTAACATTTTATTTCATTGGTAATTCAGAATCCATCTGGCTGTAACATATTTAAAATTATCCTTCATATTTGTTGTTTTTCAAAATACAAGATTAAAAAAGATCCTCATAGACGAGCCAGATAACCACTCTTCCAACGCACATCGAAAACCATCATATAATCCAAATAATCGCTGGAAAACAACATTGGGCGTTGACGTCGAATTGAGTCATAATTAGAACGTTGTCTAGAAAGAGAAAATATACTTTTTATCATTTTACATAAGGTTTAACTATTCATATTCACATTGACAAAAGAAATAAGCAAACAATTTAAAATGATGATTTTTCACAAATGTAATATTTATTCATCTATTTATCCTGACCTTAACCGACACATGTTTCTGATGTAAAAATACACAATTATAAAACATCACGTTTTATAGATTATTTATCTATTATTAG